AATACAAAATCACAGAACCTACAATGTTTAGACCGAAGATCAAAATTGTCAATTATAGATGCACGGAGAAACCACATGAAGAAGACATAGAATTAGATCTTATCCAACAAAATCATTTTATTGAAAAAGATGACATCAAAATCAAATATGTAAAGTATCTCCCATCGAAAAAATGTTACACATTATTTGCAGACATTTCTGGCAAATTATTCAGGACAATATTTGAAGATAACAATGGAAAAATTCTTCTTGGATGGCAATGTTTACCAGTGTATGATAATAACGAAATAACGCAATGCAAGAAGTGTCTTCGCTTCAATCACACCGAGAAAAAATGCCGCAATAACAAGACCTGTACCAACTGCAGCAAAGAGGATGTACACGATACTGACTGTTGTAAGCATGAACCGGTTGTATGTTGTAATTGCAAATTTTCAAACTATAGATATAACAAAAATTATAGTACCAACCACTCACCATTAGATAAAAAATGTCCAACTTTTCTATATTATCAACAGCAGTACAACTTGAAAATCCTTTTTTAAGATAGAAGAAATTTTAGCCAAAATTTTAGAATATTGCATCATTCATGACACACGACTATGTAAATAACTTCCAAATTCAACGTATTAGTACTAATACTGCTCATGATACTAGCGAGCTAGATTCTTTTTTACAAAATCCTGAAATATCTGTTAGAATTTATCATATGAACATCAGAAGTATAAAACATAACTTTGACTACTTTAAATTAATTTTGAAAAGAATACAAAGTGATATAGATATAATCATTCTATCCGAAACATGGCAAGTGGGCGATGTGACTCTGTTTCATTTAGAAGGGTACGATACATTGTATAATTTTGGTAAGCATAATCAAAACGATGGAGTGATGGTGTATGTACGAAACAATCTGCCTTATAAACATACCATATTTACAATCAACAATGAACTAAAAGGTATCAATCTAACAATGCAAATTGAAAATCGTAGAGTCAAAATTACTTGTGTTTACCGACCACCATCTTCAGATCCTCATACATTTATAAGAGACATAGATGAACTATTAAAAAACAATGAAAACAATCACCTTCATAATCAAATATTTATAGGCGACATCAATATAAACATTTTAGAGGAAAATTCTATGGTGAAAGAATATTTAAACATTTTATCAAGTAATGGCTTTTTATCATACATAAATAAAGTAACACGACCCACCAGTAAAACCTGCATTGATCACTGCTTTATAAAGGATATTTCCAATATTTTTTCTTACATACCTATTATCTATGAAACCGATATTACAGATCATTACTCCACTGTATTATTGATATCTTCACAAAATAAAAACCAGAACTGCCCAAGGGCAAAAAATGAAAGGAACCTTGAATACAAATATTTCACTGACAACTCAAAATTAATATTTAACGCACAAACGGAATCGTGGGACGAAATTTTTTTAACAAATTCTTTAGACGAAGCTACAAATTTATTAATACACAAAATTCAAAAAGTAATTGCAGTTAGTACTAATAAGGTTAAAATAAGTCACAAGGAAAAAGCAGAAATGATTGGATGACCAAAGGACTAATAAAATCTGCAAACGAAAAAGAAAAACTGTATAAAATCATGAAATATTTACCCACGAAAGAAAATATAGATCATTATAATCAGTATAAAAACAAATTTATAGAACTTTTGAGAAAAGCAAAAAAAAATTACTATATAAAACAATTGAATAATAATTCACATGACTCTAGACACCTATGGTCCACTGTCAATGATATATTCAATAAGTCATCCTATTCAAAAAACAATATTAATGAAATAAAAACAAAAACAGGACAGAAAACAGACAATATTCAGCAAATATGTGATGAGTTCATAGAATTTTTCACGAATATAGGAGGAAACTTAGCAAATAATATCAAACAAAATGCTGATATTCATCTGCATGAAACAAGACTGAATAATTCATTTGTATTAACTGAAGTAGACTATCAGGATGTTTTCAATGCCATTATGACTCTAAAAAATAAAAAAAGCCCTGGAGTTGACGAAATTAGAGCTGAACATCTAAAGATACTGGCCAAACAAATAACAGAACCACTTGCTTATATCATTAACAAATCCTTCCAATCTGGAGTATTTCCATCAGCTTTCAAGACAGCAATCATCATACCTATCTATAAATCTAATGATAATACGGACGTCACTAACTATCGACCTATTTCACTTATATCAAGTTTAGCTAAAGTTTTTGAGAAATTACTCCTTAATAAAATGATTAATTTTCTTAATAAATTCAAAATTCTAAATTCAAATCAATATGGTTTTATAGCGGGCAAATCTACAACAGATGGGGTATTAAGTATAGTAGATGAAATAACCCAAAATATAGATGGAAAAGTACCATCGATATGCGTATTTGTGGACTTACAAAAAGCGTTTGACACAGTTAACCACAATATACTTTTGAAAATCTTAGAAAGAATAGGTTTTCGTGGAAAAATGTATACTTTAATGGAAAATTATTTATCAAATAGACCACAATCAGTAAAATTATTAAGCTCGTATAGTAAAGAAATGTTTGTTAAATGTGGTGTTCCACAAGGTACAATTTTGGGTCCTCTGTTATTCAATATTTATTTAAACGATATATTCAAAATTAACAGTACTGGTAAAATAGTCAGTTTTGCAGACGATACTGCTATACTCTATAAAGGTAAGGATTGGAACGACTTAAAAGATATTATCCAAAATGACTTTTGCAAAATTATTCAGTGGTTTAATAACCGGAAATTAACAATTAACTTTACTAAAACTCATTTTTTACCATTTTCATCACTATCTAATCATCTACCAAAATATAACCACCTTCGGTTTAAGGTAAATGATAAAAATATAAAAATCAATAGAGTTAATGATACAAAATATTTAGGAATTTATCTAGATCCCCACTTGAGATGGGATGTACATATTTCTCACATACTAAAGAAAATTAGATTCATAGCATATAAAATAAAATTTCTAACCGGTATATTAACTGAATATTATCTACGAATAATATATCAAGCTTTAATCGAGCCACACATAAAATATGGTATAGTAGTGTGGGGTGCTGCATGCACGACATACTTTAACGATTTAGATGTACTTCAAAGAAGAATTTTAAAAACAATGTTAGGCAAATCAAAATTATACCCAACTAATGACTTATATAATGATGCACAAGTATATGATACTAAACAACTTTACTTCTTACATACCATCACTCATTATCACAAAACTATTAGTGAACGCGACATAATTAAACATAATCATAAAACCAGATATAAATTACGCGCAAAAAATGTTCCTAAACCAAACAAATCCCTAATGAAACGATGTCACCTGTATATAGCTCCAAAATTGTACGAACATTTACCAAATAATTTAAAACAATTACGCAATACATTAGGCTTCAAAAAAAAAATTAAAAAAATTTATTAACACGATTGGGAGAAATCAAATTAATAAAATAATCTCAAGTATTACACAATAAATGCTCTACCATTCTTACCAATAATTTCTTTGTTCTCTCTATTTTATTATATTTTGCAATTCAACATACATATGATCCATGCACAGGCGTTGTCCTCCTATGGATATATTATATTTATTTACTCGTTTCATGTTCCCTGTATTTTAGAGTAAATAAATATTATTATTATTATATTATTATTATTATTTGAAAAATATCTATCTATATATGGCGTATTGAACAAGTATAAACACTTCATAGTGTATGTTAGTAAGTAAACGCATGTATTAGCCATGTTTATAAGTAGTGGAATTTTACAGTATATAAAAAGGTAATATAGTTATGTTGTCAAGAAGTGTTCTTACTTCAAAACAACTTTTATTGCGACATATGTCTGTCTGATGACGTCGCAATTCATATTCAATATGTAGTCGGTGCGATCTTGAACTTTAACCGAATCTATACGTCATACTTAGAACTGTTTACTCTGCGAGTTTCAACCAAAGCGTACGAATAGGGGAGACCGGGTACAAAAGTAACACTTTGTACCTTTACCTCGATTTCTGGCTGGCTGTTAATGTTGTCATTAAGTTAATACAACCATATATAAATTCAGTTTATGTTCTTTAGACTAGTAACTCGATTTATTATATTATGCTGTGTTTTATAGAAATAATAGAAATTAAAAAAAAGCCTTAGTTGTTACTTTCGACCACATAGGCAGGTCGAAAGTAACACATTGTGGGTCGAAAGTAACAAGACATAGTTTTTGGTAATGAATACAATATTATACATGGCAAAGCAATAAATTATTTATTTCAAAATTTTGTATTGATAACACAAATAAACTTCTGTATTTTAAATTACAAAAATTATATATTTTAAGAAAACAAATCAAACAAAAATATTTTTAATTTAAGTAATGAGATCAATAGAGTAGCTAATCTTAATCATTCTTTTATAATCAGACTTTTATCATTCAGTCATTATTATCCTACCCGGAATCGCAATTATGGCACACATAATTGTTAACATCACCCACGCATTCCACATGGGACCACATTTTACATTCGATACATTGTATCCATTGTTCATTTGGTCGACTATTGTTAAAAGTTTCTAAACAGACAAGACAGAAGCAATCTTCGTCTTCACACCTATCTTCCTATTCTTTTGGAGCCTTCTTTGTCTTCTTTCCTTTTCCCTTTCCTTTTGCAGGTATCAATTTTCTCTTACCTTCTCCACTACTGGTTTTCTTTCGTTGTTGGTGCTCTTGTTCAATTAAATTTTTTTCGGGAATGTCTGTGAGAATGGCAGCTCTACGTTTTTTACCACCTTTATTTGTTTCAGTCCTCGGATCCGCTTGCGGTAAAGGTCTAAGATCTTTAGGTGAGAAATTAAACGGCTGGGTAGAATTTGCTTGTTGCAGCTCGCTAGGTCCTGGCACTGGTGTTTTGGATCTTTGATCACAAATTTAGTTAGCTGACAGAAGATCAGTGGTAGCAGATATGAGGTCCGGTATATTTTGAACAGCCGGTGATTGGTCATTATTGTTTGATTTGTTTGATAAATCATTGCTATGTGTACGGTGAACATTCTGGTCAACTGATGTTGGAAGATCACCAACTGGAGTACTTGGATCAACTTGAATGGATGACGTTGCGTCAGAACTAATCAACATATCGTTTGGTGAAACTTCTCTGTTAACTTGTAACGGCCGGTCAGTCACAGATGATGGCGCGTAGTCAACAGCAGTAAATATATTCCTATTGAATGGACTTATACCGGTACAGGAAAATCCAGCAATTGCATTTTTATCAGTTACAGAAAGAGGAAATGCTTCTTTAACAATACCAAGAATGTAATGAATAGTCATCGTTCGACCAGGATGATTTCGCATCCAGTTGTCTGTAGCTTTGTTTATCATTTTCTTAAATGGCCCAAATACTGCTCTATCCAAAGGCTGAAGCTTGTGGATGCAATGAGGTGGAAATGATAGCAGTACTATTCCGTTTTCTTTACAAAAGTCTATAGCTTGAATAGATATATGTGATGCATGATTGTCGAGCAGTAACAAACATTTTTGATCAACTGTGGGCTTGACTTGTCTTTTAAAATGTTGTAGAAACAGTAAAAATTCTGCATCCTGCATCCATCCGCTAGCATTGCCAGCTCCAGCACAACCAACAGGACCCTCACGTATCATATGGTCTTGGAATCGTTTCAGCGGGAATACGAAAAAAGGCGGGATGTGTCCTCCTTGAGCATTAATGGCAACATCAACTGTTACTAGTCTTCCGCGCTCTGCAGAGGTTACTGCACCTACTTGCTTAATTCCTTTTTGAGCTACAATTTTGCTAGGTTTTTGGACAGTGGTTACCCCTGTCTCGTCCATATTCCAGATATCTTTTGGCTCAAATTGGTACCTATCCATTACTTCAGCAAGGTTATCAAAGAATTTACTCAGATTATGCTCGTTAAAACTTGAAGCTCGTGACAGACTCGTTACTTGAGGACATCTTAAAGACAAGCTCGGGTGACGTTTTAAAAAACCCGTCAACCATTCCTTACCCGCCATTCGACTATCGTGCCACTTTTCAGGAAATGTTTTCCATTTTTAATCGCTAACTCGTATGCCAGTTTACGTACTTCAGATGGAGATAATCCAAAATAAACTGCAGAGCACTCGATTAAATAGTCGCGTAGATTACTTTCCTCGTTATTAGTAAAAACTCGGTTGACGCAACGATAGCCCACAACTGCGTTAGTATTTCCTTCTTTTACTTTTTCTATATATCTATATAATGTTACGTGGCAAACATTATACTTTCTTGCCAGACCTCTAATTTTTGCACCATCTTTGAAATGATCTTCAGCCGCTTTTCGATACACTTCTGTGTCGGTAGTTCCTCGTTCAGTAGTCCTTATGCGTTGTCGCGGCATTCTGTTGAAGTAAGTAAAATAAAAAAGTACGTAATAAGTAAGAAAAATATGATTGATAATTAAATATTATACGGGGACAAAAGTAACATGTTACATTTTTTTTATTCTGCACTTTGGTCAAAGCTGCCGGGCAGCCAAACCTTTGCATGTAGGTTTTAGTAGGAACATAACCAGATCGTTGGATATGCCAGGTAGGTAAATCAAGAGGAAGCTTCAACTTATTGGGATGCCAATACTGAAGATCACTGCACTATAATTACAAATATAAAATTTCTCCCCACTCACTAGATTAAACCACAACTACAAGCGACGCGAATTTCATTTCATTTTCTAAGTGAGAAAACTTGAGTAGGAAGCAGAATACGAGGCAGACTTATAAATAAGATCATAAATCTTTCGCTGTAATGAAGGTATGGAATTTTCAATGTTGAAGCTGTAGTTGCAGAGGAAAAAACCTGTTGATTAAGTTTTCAGTTGTACATACGAACAAAACTTTGAGGCCAAGTAAACTTTTGTGGAAGGATAGTCGGATAAGTGAAAATTGAAATTTCTACGTAACTCGCTGATTCAGTTCGGCGATCGGAGGAGCTAAACTAGAATAACATAATCCTTTTTAATTAAATAAGAAAACGTGCAACTTTCGACATGGTCTTGAATATTGAGTAATCGTCACTGAACTTTCTTCGGCTTTACAAGCCAATTTATTAGGATTTCTTGCAATCATAAAAATTTTCGAAAATGAGATATGTTTTATATTTATATGTTACACGGCATGTACCGGGCGGCAACCACTCAAGCTAGATCTATCAGCTAGACAATTTTGTAGTGGAAAAGTGATAAAAAACTGTTGGAAATTATTTCCAACTTCCTAAAATGAAAGCTAGGGGCGTCACTCTTTCCCCAAAATTAGAAAAATAAATCTAAAGTAGCTTCATTCGATAGTGTTAATGTTTTGTTACCGTGGTTTTCTCGTACCTACGTTGTTGCAGAAATGGAAATCACAGAGTCAATCTTTTCCATAACCCTAGCAATTTACATAATTTAGTTGGAGACGCTCTTAGTCAAATAAGTGAACCACCACCTATTTTGCTTTCTAACGCCTAACTGTCTAAAAGCGTGGGAAGTGAATTCAAATTTCAACGTTTCTGCTTAAACATATATAAACGAACGATAAAGGAAGGATTTTGCTAAAACGTGACTCGATACCAAGCAACAGCAATTTCAAAGCGGATTTGTGGTGTGGGTTGGAGTGCTGCTTAGAAATACTATTAGGCTTATGAAGTAATAGCTCTAGGGCCTCGACTTATGTGGAATTAGTTTAGTTTGGCGAATGGCACAATATAGTCTAATATAATGAATAATTATTGCTTTGTTCAAGCATCAATTAATCGCATTATGGTATCAACTAGCAGCAGAAAGCGGTGTGGTAATACAATCGCAATACTTGAAAGAAAGGCAAGTTCACGATAGTTAGTATAGACTTGGAACGAGAAGCCTGACGAATCCATACATGAGATCTAGAACTTAGCCTGCCTGATAAAGAGACTAGAGCCTATACTCGTAAATTTCCTTGTCCCCCTCTGTTCTGCATCATACGGAGTGGCGCATCGAAAACGAAACAGACGCATTTACTGGCAGCTCAGTTTTTTTTTTGAAAAACGCTCAGACCCTTCGATTTTGTTTTCAAGGCGGACACAAGTTTGGCAAAAAATCACGTTAACACGTGCAGCCCCCTAAAATCTTAAATGGAAAGGGGGGTCGAGTGATACCTTATTTTAAAGGTCTTTCAATTCGCTTTATAATGATGTAAAATACACGAGCTTCAGTTCAGTAGTTTTGAAGATTTATTGATTTAAAGCTTAAAGTAGACTTTAATAGGTACATCAGATTAGTTTGTACTACTTTCAGAAAAAAATTTGAATAAAATAATTTACGTAATAAGTAAATGCTTTTCTTCACTATGCCCATGATTTGTTTATCATTTTGTTGTTGAAAATAGCTATTGGAGCGTTTTTTGTGGCAAAAAAGTTATTTGTTGTAGAAAGATAAGGAAATATCTCGTACTTATTTTAAATAGGAATTTAGTACATAGTTTGCGATTGATTTGACCAAACTTTATTGCTAAAATAACTTGTAACGCTTTATTACATAAATTAACCATGGTATATTCCACAGCAGAAAGAGTTGAAATTATCGAAATATTTTTCGGGAATAATCAGTGCGCTAATAGAACAGCAGAAATATTTAATGAGCGACATGAGAACAGTAACGTGCATTGAAAATATGTTCTAGAGTTGTAGCTAAATTTGGGGAAACTGGGTCAGTCGCCAATAAATAATGCAACATTGAAAATCCCATAAGGAACGAAGCAATAGAAGTGGGGGTTTCAGGGCAAGTTTATGTTGATCCTACGTTAAGTACTCGCAAATTGGAGACCGTGTGTGGTGTTAGTCGAAGAAGAACAACTTAATGAAGACGATTTTGATCGCCGATTACAATTTTGTGAAGATATGAGTGAACAAATTATAAACGATGAACATTTTCTATTCAACACTTGCTTTTCCGACGAATGTTCCTTTTTCTTAAATGGCGTAGTAAATCGTCATAACTGCCGATATTTTTCCGATTCTGATCCCAGAATTTATCATGAGGTTCATACACAGCAGCCACAAAAATTAAATATTTGGGCTGGTAGTTTTGGCGATCATTTAGTTGGTCCTTTTTTCTTACCTGGAAATTTTACCGGTGAAATGTATTTGGAATTACTGGAAGACGCCATAGATCCTGCCTCAACAGCCATAATTGAAAATCAGAATGATCGGCGGTACATTGCGAATAGGTTGATGTTCCAACAGGATGGTGCCCCACCACATTACGCATTACGTGTTCGACAATATTTAGATCAGACGTTTCCAGATCGATGAATTGGTAGAATATGTTCCATTGAATGGCCCCGAAGATCGCCAGATTTATCACCTTTGGATTTATTTATGTGGGGTCATTTAAAAAGCAAATCCTATGCTACTCAGCCAACATCATTAGAAGACCTGCGATAAAGAATTGTGAATGAGTGCCTTCAAATTACTCCTCAAATATTGCAAAATGTGCGTTTTGAGCAAAATCTTGATTATTGCATGGAGAGTCATGGTGGCCATTTTCAACATTTACTTGCCTAACAGGTCAGTTCATTCTTCATTTTTAAATTACTTTGCTGCCAAATGTATTGATCTCCACTAATGATGATGTATTCGTTTTATTTAAGCTTTAAATCATTAAATCCTCAAAACTACTGAACTGAAGTACATTAATTTTATATCATTATAAAGGGAATTGAAAGACCTTTAAAATAAGGTATCACTCGACCCCCCTTTCCATTTAAGATTTTGGGGGTGGTGTCACCGCCGCTTAGGGGGCTGCACGTGTTAACGTGATTTTTTGCCAAACTTGTGTCCCCCTCGAAAAAAAAAACCGACAGGTCTGAGCGTTTTTCAAAAAAAAAAACTGAGCTGCCAGTAAATGGGTCTGTTTCGTTTTCGATGCACCTCCCTGTATATGAATACTGTGATCGGCGCAGACCTGAGAACAGTGCGATGTGAGTATTCGCACATGATGGAGAAAGGTAGCTCCAAAATGACAGTGTTCAGATTCGTCTCATGTGTGTGCAAGTAGTAGTAAGTAGTTACATGAGTACTTCCATCTAATTTGCCACACATCACAACCGATACACTAGGGCCCGTATTGTCAGTCCTCCCTACAATTGTCGGGCGCGTTTTTGGCCTCCTTGATTGTCATACTTCTTTCTCTCCTTCAAAGACTTCTAGATTACACTTGTTCCGTGTCAGCGTCAGCGCTCTCCTATTGTGAAGATATGGTTTCTTTTTAAATCGTAGGAAATTTCAGGCTGATAAAACATGATATAACTCAAAAGCAAGCACAATTTGATGCAAATACATGTTTGCGACATAACCTCAAAATAGAGCGCTGACACGGAGAAGTAGAAAACTATGACAATCAACGAGGCCATAAAGGTACTCGTACAAAAACCAGTTTTTCATTTGATCCCATGACTAAAATCTGCTCCTAGGGAGCCACTAAGGAGCGCATTTGACCAACATATGGGTCGAATTTGATACAATAGATACCTACCCAAAAAAGATAATCTTGGTAAAGTAGGTCATCAACATGTCCATTAAATTCCCATCTCAGGTTGTAGACATATGAACTGTTGTTTCCTGGGTATATCCATAGCTAGCACAAAGGGTT